ATATTAATAATATATATATATATATATATATTATATAATATAATTATATATATATTAATTTTATGTGTCATTGGGTAAGGGGTTATTTCTTGGGTATTTTAGGTAGAGGTCGTTTTGATAAGGACCTGCCTCGCATGGGCCAGTAGGCCTTCTACAGTGTTCCAACATTCTTATGTTCTTATATATATATATATATATATATATATATATATTTTGTGCCGAATAGGTAAAATTGGTCAATTGGCAAGAACTCATTTAAAATTAAGTCCTTTCTAAAATTATCTCTTATATATTTAAAGATATTCTTTTCCATTTATGCTAATATAAGAATTAATAATCTTGTACGAAAAGAACCTTAGAAAACTTACCTAACTTTAATATAATTTAGCTGCCTAATCCAACTAAATATATATTAGATAAGTTCAAAATAATTTAATAATAAACAAACACAAATTTTCGTTTGCCTTATTCGGCAAGAAAAACGTTGCTATATAAGTCAAAAATCGCCAGTTTTACCTATTCGGCACTGTATTTACATATACATTTTATTCACCGCAATGAAAAGTTCACATGGAGGCAGAGAAGAAATAACAAATGAGCGGTTCTCTGTAATTAGGTCTCTGACACCTGTCTGTATCATTAACAATTACTTGATAACGTTGTACAGAGGTCGAGAATATGCCTTTTTTTAGTACATAAATTGTTTCCATTTTTGATCATGCACTGAAAGAATTAGAACTTTTTTCTAGTAAGTATGAGGCAGCTGATGGATATGGAATATGTGTAAAACGTTAGTGGGGGAACTTTTTAAGTTTTATGCATCTAGAGAAATAGAAGAAGGCATTTTTCTCATTTTTTTAATCTATGATTTTGCGTATTTAAAGTACTTCTGTTCACTATATCCGAAAAAGAGAAAGTCACGTCCATAAATGCGCAAGAGACTGTGAAGCTGGTTGAGCGTGAGCTGGCTGAAGTAGTCTTTAATGAGCTCCTCGTAGTTAGTGTTGGAATTGTGTAGCTTCTGCGGACTCAGCACCTCCGACAGCCCTGGCACCTGCAGAAGACACAGAGGCAAATAACTGGTGAAGAAAGAAAACGATAAGTTATTTTGGTGGGTATATTATTAACTATTTTAATTTGTTATTTTTATCTTCACTAACACTCGTGGTGTCCTGTCTTTATTACATTACTCATTTCAATTTAAAATTTTCTTCAAAGCTTCCAAAGGAAGTGCTGGGTTTATGGCGGAAATTAATGTCTGAACGCACAGCTGGGACTGGCTCCTTCAGTTGGGTCGAGACCAACAGCTGAGCAGTTGTGTTAGATGTAATGGAGCAACTTGCACTACTGTGATTGACTCTTCTGCCTTATATAAAGCTGGGAAAGGCAGAGTAGTATAGGTTATAGGTCATGTAAATAATAGGGACATAATAGGGACCTGTGTCAGGGAGTACTGGCGCTGATTCCGGTCGAATAAAATAACAACAATCCCAGTATTTGGCGAGTCATTGCTTGATCATAACCTCCATGAATATTTTATATTATCCCCGGGGTCACACGTTGGGATGTCCCCGGGACCACACGTTGGGATGTCACCAGGACCACACGTCGGGATGTCACCAGGGCTACACGTCGGGATGTCACCAGTCAATAAGTCAAAAAGAAACATTAAAGAAATGGCAAGCAAAATGTGCAGTGCCAGTGCCGGTGACATGAAATTAATGACGGTGCTGAGAAACTACAACCGTCAAACAGAGGTAATTAGAAATGATGTCTAGAAATAATGAAGCCGTAATAAAGTGATTATTAGTGACAATTAGAGAAACTCCAGATAGAATAGAGTGATAATTAATGATGGTGTTGTGAGAAACTGAAAACGTAATGCGGGAAAAATTATTGTTTTCACTGTACCCATAATACAGTGATAATATGTTGAGAAATGATGAATGATTTGTAATCACCAGTGGTATTGTTTTGCTAGTTGTGATCACCAGTGGTATTGTTTTGCTAGTTGTGATCACCAGTGGTATTGTTTTGCTAGTTGTGATCACCTGGTATTGTTTTACTAGTTGTGATCACCATGGTATTGTTTTGCTAGTTGTGATCACCAGTGGTATTGTTTTGCTAGTTGTGATCACCAGTGGTATTGTTTTGCTAGTTGTGATCACCAGTGGTATTGTTTTGCTAGTTGTGATCACCAGTGGTATTGTTTTGCTAGTTGTGATCACCAGTGGTATTGATTTGCTAGTTGTGATCACCAGTGGTATTGTTTTGCTAGTTGTGATCACCAGTGTATTGTTTTGCTAGTTGTGGATCACCAGTGGTATTGTTTTTACTAGTTGTGATCACCAGTGGTATTGTTTTACTAGTTGTGATCACCAGTGGTATTGATTTGCTAGTTGTGATCACCAGTGTATTGTTTGCTAGTTGTGATCACCAGTGGTATTGTTTTGCTAGTTGTGATCACCAGTGGTATTGTTTTACTAGTTGTGATCACCAGTGGTATTGTTTTGCTAGTTGTGATCACCAGTGGTATTGTTTTACTAGTTGTGATCACCAGTGGTATTGATTTGCTAGTTGTGATCACCAGTGGTATTGTTTTGCTAGTTGTGATCACCAGTGGTATTGTTTTAATAGTTGTGATCACCAGTGGTATTGTTTTACTAGTTGTGATCACCAGTGGCAATGTTTCGCGAGTTGTGATCACCAGTGGTATTGTTTTACTAGTTGTGATCACCAGTGGTATTGTTTTACTAGTTGTGATCACCAGTGGTATTGTTTTACTAGTTGTGATCACCAGTGGTATTGTTTTACTAGTTGTGATCGCCAGTGGTATTGTTTTACTAGTTGTGATCACCAGTGGCAATGTTTCGCGAGTTGTGATCACCAGTGGTATTGTTTTACTAGTTGTGATCACCAGTGGTACTGTTTTGCGAGTTGTGGTCACCAGTGGCATTGTTTTGCTAGTTATCACAGTGGTATTGCTTTGCGAGTTGTGATCACCAGTGGTATTGCTTTGCGAGTTGTGATCACCAGTGGTATTGTTTTGCGAGTTATCACCAGTGGTAATGCTTTGCGAGTTGTGATCACCAGTGGTATTGTTTTGCGAGTTGTGATCACAAGTGGTATTGTTTTGCGAGTTATCACCAGTGGTAATGCTTTGCGAGTTGTGATCACCAGTGGTATTGTTTTGCGAGTTGTGATCACAAGTGGTATTGTTTTGCGAGTTATCACCAGTGGTAATGCTTTGCGAGTTGTGATCACCAGTGGTATTGTTTTGCGAGTTGTGATCACAAGTGGTATTGTTTTGCGAGTTATCACCAGTGGTATTGCTTTGCGAGTTGTGATCACCAGTGGTATTGTTTTGCGAGTTATCACCAGTGGTAATGCTTTGCGAGTTGTGATCACCAGTGGTATTGTTTTGCAAGTTGTGATCACCAATGGTATTGTTTTTGCGAGTTGTGATCACCAGTGGTATTGCTTTGCGAGTTGTGATCACCAGTGGTATTGTTTTGCAAGTTGTGATCACCAGTGGTATTGTTTTGCAAGTTGTGATCACCAGTGGTATTGTTTTGCGAGTTGTGATCACCAGTGGTATTGTTTTGCGAGTTGTGATCACCAGTGGTATTGTTTTGCGAGTTATCACCAGTGGTAATTCTTTGCGAGTTGTGATCACCAGTGGTATTGTTTTGCAAGTTGTGATCACCAGTGGTATTGTTTTGCAAGTTGTGATCACCAGTGGTATTGTTTTGCGAGTTATCACCAGTGGTATTGTTTTGCGAGTTGTGATCACCAGTGGTATTGTTTTGCTAAGTTGTGATCACCAGTGGTATTGTTTTGCAAGTTGTGATCACCAGTGGTATTGCTTTGCGAGTTGTGATCACCAGTGGTATTGTTTTGCGAGTTGTGATCACCAGTGGTATTGTTTTGCGAGTTATCACCAATGGTATTGTTTTGCGAGTTGTGATCACCAGTGGTATTGTTTTGCGAGTTGTGATCACCAGTGGTATTGTTTTGCGAGTTATCACCAATGGTATTGTTTTGCGAGTTGTGATCACCAGTGGTATTGTTTTGCGAGTTGTGATCACCAGTGGTATTGTTTTGCGAGTTGTGCTCACCAGTGGTATTGTTTTGCTAGTTATCACCAGTGGTATTGCTTTGCGAGTTGTGATCATCAGTGGTATTATTTTGCGAGTTATCACCAGTGGTATTGCTGTGCGACTTGTGATCACCAGTGGTATTGATTTGCGAGTTGTGATCACCAGTGGTATTGTTTTGCTAGTTATCACCAGTGGTATTGCTTTGCGAGTTGTGATCATCAGTGGTATTATTTTGCGAGTTATCACCAGTGGTATTGCTGTGCGACTTGTGATCACCAGTGGTATTGCTTTGTGAGTTGTGGACACCAAGGTAATTGTTTTGCTAGTTATCACCAGTGATATTGCTTTGCGAGTTGTGATCATCAGTGGTATTATTTTGCGAGTTATCACCAGTGGTATTGCTTTGCGACTTGTGATCACCAGTGGTATTGCTTTGTGAGTTGTGATCACCAGTGGTATTGTTTTGCGAGTTGTGGACACCAGGGTAATTGTTTTGCTAGTTATCACCAGTGATATTGCTTTGCGAGTTGTGATCATCAGTGGTATTATTTTGCGAGTTATCACCAGTGGTATTGCTTTGCGACTTGTGATCACCAGTGGTATTGTTTTGCGAGTTGTGATAACCAGTTGTATTATTTTGCTAGTTATCCCCAGTGGTAATGTTTTGCGAGTTGTGATCACCAGTGGTTCTGTTTTGCTAGTTATCCCCAGTGGTAATGTTTTGCGAGTTGTGATCACCAGTGGTATTGTTTTGCGAGTTGTGATCACCAGTGGTATTGTTTTGCGAGTTGTGATCACCAGTGGCATTGTTTTGCTAGTTATCCCCAGTGGTAATGTTTTGCGAGTTGTGATCACCAGTGGTTCTGTTTTGCTAGTTATCCCCAGTGGTATTGTTTTGCGAGTTGTGATCATCAGTGGTATTGTTTTGCTAGTTATCCCCAGTGGTAATGTTTTGCGAGTTGTGATCACCAGTGGTATTGTTTTGCGAGTTGTGATCACCAGTGGTATTGTTTTGCGAGTTGTGATCACCAGTGGCATTGTTTTCCGAGTTGTGATCACCAGTGGTATTGTTTTACTAGTTGTGATCACCAGTGGCAATGTTTCGCGAGTTGTGATCACCAGTGGTATTGTTTTACTAGTTGTGATCACCAGTGGTATTGTTTTACTAGTTGTGATCACCAGTGGTATTGTTTTACTAGTTTATCACCAGTGTTTTGTTTTACTAGTTGTGATCACCAGTGTATTTTTTTAACTATTTTGCGATAAACCGTGGTATTGTTTTACTAGTTTGATCACCAGTGGTATTGTTTTACTAGTTGTGATCACCAGTGGTTTTTGTTTTACTAGTTTAAATCACCATGGTATTGTTTTACTAGTGTGATCACCAGTGCAATGTTTCGCAGTTGTAAACACCATGTATTGTTTAACTAGTTGTGATCACCAGTGGTACTGTTTTGCGAGTTGTGGTCACCAGGGGCATTGTTTTGCTAGTTATCACAGTGTATTGCTTTGCGAGTTGTGATCACCAGTGGTATTGTTTTGCGAGTTGTGATCACCAGTGGTATTGTTTTGCGAGTTATCACCAGTGGTAATGCTTTGCGAGTTGTGATCACCATGTATTGTTTTGCGAGTTGTGATCACCAGTGGTATTGTTTTGCGAGTTATCACCAGTGGTAATGCTTTGCGAGTTGTGATCACCAGTGGTATTGTTTTGCAAGCTGTGATCACCAATGGTATTGTTTTTGCGAGTTGTGATCACCATGGTATTGCTTTGCGATTGTGATAAACCAGTGGTATGTTTTGCAATTTGGGTGATCACCAGGTATTGTTTTGCAAGTTGGTGATCACCAGGTATTGTTTTGCGATTGTGATCACCAGTGATTGTTTTGCGAGTTTGATCACCAGTGATTGTTTTGCGAGTTATCACCAGGTAATTCTTCGAGTTGTGATCACC